TAAGGGGGGGTGGAGAAATGGTATAGTTAGCATGCCTAACGTTAAATAAATAAATAAAGCACACTAGTGCACTTTTCATCTCACTAAGATAATATAGAAGTAAATACAAATGTATAATTAAGAGCCAGAGATCAAGTATAATAGCATGAATACTAATGAACTTAATAGCAAAACATTAGAGAAAAAGAAAAGAAGTTGCATTTTGTATTCAAAATTGCACACCATTGCTCCAAACAGAGGGGGGGAAAGGTTGATACTATAGACTCTCTGAAGTTAGAAGAAATGTTGACGGTCAAGATGAATTTAAGTGAAGTGTGAATCCTAGTGACTGGACTGATGAGAATTGAAGCCGGAATTTGCAAGCTATCTTATTAGCATAGTTCAGGATCCTCCGCGTACCACTAGACTACTTTCATTTCTAATATCTGATAATCATAGGTCAAAATGTTGGAAGACTATTAAGAGCAATGTGAGATTGTATGGTCTTTCCATTGGATATTTTTTTTATTTTCAGGCATTAAATAAGACCAAGACCAAAGATGCTATCAAGCAGTGGACTTTGGACATTGAGTGGCAACACAACCTAAGCCACAAAATTGACTTAAGAGGACCCAGAAAAATCTCCCCTGCAGCTTACCAATTTTTTATTTATTCATTCTAAGAACTGGCAGACATTTTCTAAAACTTTTTTTAGTGCTTGCCCTCTGACATTTTTGAGAAGGTAGATATAATAAAATTCCAATTTTCTAGAGGTTATAACCCTGCAAAAGAAGGAGACTGAGACAATTAGACTTGACCTTTTACACCAAGAGTTTTATGCTGATTCTGGGGTAAGACCAATCCAGCCTTTATTAACTAATATACCAGGTCCCTTAAACAAATTTTACATTGATTAGTTGATGGATGCCAGCAAGTAACTTTCTTGGTTGCAGATTTTTACTTTTAAACAATCTAAAGACTGGTGTACTACAGAGAAAAGATTGTAAATTGCAGTATATTGCCTATGACAAAGTAGCTAATATTTTCTGAATGCTGTTATATTTTTCTTGTTTATGACCCTACTGTTGTTCAGGCCATTAAAAGTTTTATTGCAAAGTATTAAATTGTTGTTGTTGTTTTTCCTAAACAGAAAAATAATTTCAGAGATGTTCTTCTATGTAAAGAAAGCCATTTATGGTTAGGGTGAGTTTCTGCAAAGCATTGGACTAAATGCCATAGTTATACAATATGGTTCCAAAATTATCTTTATGAACAATAGTTAAATTTTAAATGCAAATTTCTGCTAGATCTTAAAAATCTTTTTATTCGTTTGTTTTCATTTATTAAGAAATTTTATATGGACACTCAACTTCCTCCTGGTGATTCTGGGTATCTTACATAAGAAAAAATCCAAATACAAAACCAATCCTTTCTAGACATCATCCATCAACCTAATTAATTATCTGGGTCTCTTTACTTACTAAATGCAAAAGTGATGAAAGCTTACATAGGTTAAAATCTGACGTTTGTCTTTTACATTTCTTAGAACAAAGTAATTATTTAAGACATTTCTTTCTGTTAGAAAATATATCATTTTTACCATCCATACATATACAAGATACAATATCTGAGTTAGCTGGCCAAAGAACTACATCTGTGTATACTTTTTCATGTTTTAATTTAACATTATTTTGTTCGATAGTTACCATATACATACGAAGCCCTTTGTTGCAGATTAGGTCCTAATATAAAAACAAAAATTATATATGAAAAATTCATATTCAAAAGATATCTTAATTCCTAGAAAGAAAAGTTATATCATTCTGCTTTTGAGGTGGAACGTCCTATTTAGAAAAGTGGGCAGCCAGAAGCAACTGCCTGGACCTCAATTAATCATAGAATGAGAACAATCCATTGAATAGCATTTCCTCAGTGAAGCTGAGAAAATACTGGTCTGCCTCAGGCCAGCTTGTCACATTATGGCTAGAGTAAAATTTGAAACTGGGGAATTCCAGATCTTTTCTCACACTCTCCCAACAGTTATGTCTCAGGAAAGTTATATATCCAGGCTGCCAATCAAGATTCATATAGTGAGTTGTTAAAAAAAATGTCCTGATCACTGGATCAATAGGTAAGTTGTGATTTAGCTTCCAACAGATTTCATATTTCTCCAAAGAATAAAATTCAGTTGTCATTACAAATTTAAATGCATTTTGAGGAGAAAATTATACCTTACCTTGTCCTAATAAGAGGCTGAGATCTTTTACTAAGTGTCTAAATATGTCATACATATATTTTTGTAAACCATTGACTTCTATACAAGTATAGAATAGCTGTGTGTGTGTGTGCATACATATATACATAAATGCATACATTCACAGTATATTTGTTGCATAGAAGTCATTGGTTTACAAAGATATTTTATAAAAGTCTATTATTATGAAATAGGAAAAAAAATAAAATGGTTAAATTCATAAGAGCTAATGCCATGTCATAATTTCACATTGAATTTATTTAATTCATATTACCTGCTAGGAGTGAATAAACACCTGGAACATTTATTACCAATTGCAGTTATGAGCAGAGGTGGTATTCAGCCTGTTCTGACAGGTTCTGGAGAACTGGTAGTGGAAATTTTGAGTAGTTCTGAGAACCGGCAAATACCATCTCTAACTGGCCCCGTCCCCGTCTATTCCCTGCCTCCTGAGTCACAGCTGATTGGCTGGGTCTTCTTTGGTTGCCCTGCACACGAGAACGGAAGGAATGGAGATTTTGTAGTATCCTTCCCCTGCCACGCCCACCAAGCCACGCCCACGAAGCCACACCACACCCACCAAGCCATGCCCACAGAACCAGTAGTAAAAAAATTTGAATACCACCACTATTTAGTAGAGTCTGGATAGGAGAAGAATTCTTGTTTATTTGTTTTGCTTTAAACTGAGTATTGATTAAAATGTTTGACTTTAAAAGTTAAAACCACAGGTTACTTTTTAAATTATGTTTCTAAACTCTCATAGATGACATAGCCTCTGTGCTACAGGTCATATATGCATTCCAACCAGATTACATATTTAAGTGCTGAGTATATTTTAATCTGAATACAGTATGTTCAAGAATAAAGACCCTATTATTTTGACATGCTGGTTTCTTCGTTCTTCTGCATCTCTGCTCTTCATTTTAAGACACATAGAGAGCCATATATTCTTACCTAAGTAATTATTTAGCAAAAATAGTACAGGATGGTAGACCTTTATGATAGATGATTGAATTGTATGATTTAGATTACAGCAGATCATCATATATTCAAAATAAAGGTGTACACAACATTCAGATTTTAACTTGAATCACCCTCTTCTGAGATTGCTATAGGCTATGAGCTTTCTTTGACCTTCTTGGGCAGAGACTTGGCTCTAAATCAGGGGTTGCCAACCTTCTGGACCTCAGGGACCACCAAACTCATAATTTTAAATCCCGGGGACCACTAATATGAATTTTGACTGAAGGTGCCTTGCTGAAGTTGGTGGGAGGGAGAGAGAGAGAAAGAGAGAGAGAGAGAGAGAGAAGAGAGAGAGGTATCTTATCTAACCTCTCTCCCTCTCTCTGTTTCTCTCTGTCTCTCTGTCTCTGTCTCTCTCTCTCTCTCTCTCACACACACACACACACACATACAGAGGCAGGGATGGGATTCAAATTTCTTAATAACCAGTTCTTGGGCGTGGCCTAATTTGTGGGTGTGACTTGGTTCATGTGTCTGTCTGGGCATGGCTTGTATGTAAATATTATAAATATTTATGTAAATATTGAATTTTGTATTAAATGAGCAACTTTTACCCAAAATCAGGCAAAGCAGACAGGCAGATTGAGTTGCTCACATAATCACAGATTCAGAAATCTACCTTTCTGCCATCAGCTGCCTGAGTCTGTCACATAAAATTTGCTTCAAGCAAACACATAAAATTTGCTAGCAAGCAAACTCACAAAATTAACTCACAACACACCATGTATGTAAATTTTGATTTTTTTATTAAAAAAAAGAACAACTTTTATCCAAAATCAGGCAAAGCAGGCAGGCAGATTGAGTTGCTCACAGATTCACTTAGAGATCTGTGTTTCTGCCATCGGCTATCTGAATCTGCACTGAATATGAACCTTCAGTCCTAAGGACTGACGATTAGCTAGAAAGCAAGAAATCCAATGATTTCCTGCTTTCTGGCTAATCTAAATCTCCTGGCACAGCAGAACAGCTGATGGTTGGGCGGGGGAAAGGAAAAATAGCAATTTAGCAGGCAAGTTTGCCAGGTAAGGTTTGAGTGGGCAAGAAGGCTTCCCGCGGGCCATGTGTCCAGACTTGTGTTCCTGCACAGCTTGGATTAATTGCTTTGTGGGGTATGCTCTGTGGGTGACATTTCTTTGTGGACCACCAACATTTTCTCGTGACCCACAAGTTGGGAACCACTGCTCTAAATGATCCTATTTTGAACTTAGAATGTCTGATTCAAGATCAAAATGACATTATTTTGAATTTGGAACATTTTCAGGAAAGATTGGAACAATATCAAAAGAGTCTCTAATAAAATTGATCCAGACTGCCTCAAACTCAAAACCTTGCTTTAAGAAAAAGCTGGGGGTATTTTGATCTCATTTTGTTAAAATTCCAAAACATTTCCTTAATTCAAAGCTTCTTCCAAAAAACATCCTTGTTGCAGAGCTGGTATTCAGCAAGTTCTGACCAGTTCTGGAGAACTGGTAGCGGAAATTTTGAGTAGTTCAGAGAACCGGCAAATCCCACCTCTGACTGGAGATTTTACAGTATCCTTCCCCTGCTATGCTCACCAAGCCATGCCCACAGAACTGGTAATAATTTTTTTTTTGAATCCCACCACTGCCTTGTTGTTCATGTGTGCATGTTTGTGTGTGTAATAGCCTCAGCGCTCTCTCTGACATCAGCTTCCAAACTGCAAGGGTTGAAACATTGAAAAATCTTTCGTTCCATATAAAATTGTTTATCCTAATTCCTGCAGTTCCTTCAGCCAACTCAAGGTCTGGTCCACATTTTGTGAACTCACTCGGACTCACTCCAAGATGATGTACCTGCTTTTTCTGGATGTCTCTGCTCCTACAAGACTTGGGATCCGAGCACTTCCTATGTTTTGGGCTCAAGTCAAGTTTCTGACAGAAAAGTATGTTGCGCCCTCATTCAATATTTTTGTTTTAGCTCGTTTGTTGCTGCTTTCTCCTTTGATAGTCCACTGCTTTTTTCTTCTCTTCCTTTCTTGTAGCTTAAAGTTGAACATTGACTCAAAGACATCTTCCTTACTGGGGTAATGAAAGTAGGAAATCTTACTGGGGATTATTTCCTGGATGGGAACTTGTCCACCTTCTTCTTTTTATGAGGGTCCCCTTTATCTGGTAATATTTCTGAATAACAAGATGAACGTGTTATGTGGCCCTGAGTCAAACTAATGCCCAGCTGGGCAGTTTTTCCTTTTTTTGAACTATTCTACTGGAAACAGTTGGGTCCAAAGATAAAAGGATTAGGATTAAGGGAAGGGAAGGCATAATAGAAGGCAATATTATATCACTGCAAGTTCAAAGGATTGTAGGGAAGGCCTTGTTCACTGGCAGGTTATAAACACTGCTTTTATGTACATTATAATGTTGCTTTTAGATCAGGAACAAAATGCTTTATTTTATTGCTAAAAACTTCCACTGTTTTTCAGCTTTTTTTTAGTTTACTTATTCTAAGGTGAATTTCCGATATCCCTCATTTCAGATCCATGGAAGCCAGGTTGTTGAAATATGGGGTGTCAGAAGGGGGATCTCCACAGCAGAATTCTTTTTGATTTTTTGCTTAAAAGAAAAACTCCATTCTGCAGCAAATGGAGGGACTGGAAATAGTTGAAGAGAGTGATCATTCTGGTACTACAACCAATCCCAGAAAACAACACATTTTAATCCTGTTCTCTACCAACTACAGTGTAAACTAGAAACAAAACCATGAAGCTGGAGATTAAGTTTCAGAGTTTCAAGCTAAATCAGAATTCTTTGGAGTTGGAAATCCAATCATAAGTTCCAGATTTGAATTAATATTGTACATTGACCTCCAGTGAGAATAAACACACTTGTCTGTCCCTTCTTGGTAAAAAGGGTGAGATAAAGATTGCCTCTTTGTTTTGTATGTTACTCACTAAATATCCTAGCTGCACCTAATTTAAACATCAATAAAGAGTAAATAGATGTAAATTACTATTCTTTCCTCATTATCCAAGTTTGCCAACTCCAATAACCATTGTGCCAGACTGTGACCTTGTAGCTTTCCTATCTTATTCGCAATATTAGTTCTCTAAAAGAGGAATCCAAGGTGTGCTTAACTGGGTATAAATTCAGATAACTATCTTTTAAATATGATTGTAGGGTTACATCTCATCTCTGTTTAGAATTCATGCCTGTAATCGTGAATAGCTTTTCCTTTGTGTGTAAAATATCGTGACCATATGTAAATCTACTGTGAGCACTATTTTGCTCTGATCCATAATTAACATCTGTATTCGTCAGCATCTTTGGATATGGAAAAATTGGTAAATGGACTGGGAGACCAATTTTTCAAAAGTGGAGGGTTCCTGAAAGAAGAATTAAAAGGCCCATTGCTTACTCTCCTATAAACTACTCCGAGAGGGTAGAAGTCCCACACATGTAGCTGCCATATGCACAGCCATAATGCTGCTTGATTACATGATAGAGCTTTTTAGCAACAAGAAAAATCCTGAATTTTGACAAATTTTGGCACAATGCTTGTGGCTGAATTTGTGTGAAAAAAGATCAGCTGCTCCTTTTTCAAGTCTCTTGCCCAGAGTTATAACTAGGGAAACAAGTAATGTGCACTTTTTCAGGCTTATAATTGAAGCAAGACCCTTAGATTTATATTATTGAAATAATGGAAAGCTTTGTTATAAATTATGAAGTCAGATACACTCACATGTATCTATGAGATCATTTGGAATAGTAGATAAAGCACCAGATTAGAATCCAGGAGTCTGTGAGTTCTAGACTTGCCTTAGGTTCAACGAGCTGGGTGACCTTGAGGCAATCACTCTGTCAGCCAGTAGAAGATCACGGCAAATCTTTGAAAACTTGCCAAGTAACCTGCAGAGACTAATTCAGGCAATCACCAGGAGTCAACATTGACTCGAAGGCAAAAATACACACACAGATACAGATTAAACAGAGTTGGAAGGGACTTTGTAGGTCATCTAGTCCAACCCCCTGCCCAAGCAGGAGACCCTACATCATTTCTGACAAATGGCAGTCCAATCTCTTCTTGAAAGCTTCCAGTGATGAAGGTCCCATTGGGGCTTCTGAAGGCAACCTCTGTTCCATTGGTTGATGGTTCTCACTGTCAGAAAATTTCTCCTTACTTCTAGGTTGAATCGCTCCTTGATCAGTTTCCATCCATTATTCCTTGCCTGGCCTTCGGGTGCCTTGGAAAATAGTTTGACCCCTTCCTCTCTGTGGCAGCTCCTCAAATACTGGAACACTGCTATCAAGTCTCTCCTAGTCCTTCTCTTCACTAGACTAGCCATACCGAATACTTGCAACCATTCATCCTATGTTTTAGCCGCCAGTCCCCTAATCATTATGGTTGCTCTTCTCTGCATATAACATAGATACATAAATACATAACACACACACACGTGTGTGTGTGTGTGTAAAACATATGCACTCATATACATTCATGTATATATGTTTATGTATATGTATACACATACACACACAATTACTCACATACACATAACCAATTGTTTGTGATGGCACTGTGAAGTGGAATCTTAACGAGTGTTTCCTAGGAATGGGAACAAATAGATCTACAAGCACATTTCAGTCCCTTTGGTTAAATTTCTGCGCTGTTACGATTGATGCTGAAAAATCTCCTTGTAAATGCACAGAAGCTTTGCCCTGGAGATGCGAAAGTGTTATGAAATTCTGATGCTTAGCTCAGGTGCATAGAATTGCATTATGTGGAACATAATGTTGTGAAACAGAATAACTGAGCATTCAATAAAATAATATTCTAACAGCTGGCACATTTTTTGCTTGGTCTTGCTTTAAACATTGAGCTATTTCCAGATGAACTGCCAGTATCTTGCTTGCTCTAATTTTGGCAAGCATAACTAGCTGGGCTTGTTTATTAGCCTGCAATATTTACATGATTTTTATCAAAGGTGTATCATTTTCTCTTTAAAAGCAAGTATTGCATTCTGTTTTAAAGTCTAGCCTTCCCCATCAATTTCCTCCTACCTGAAATACATTAAATACTACAAAGAAGGATGAAAGACTCATTTATGGGCAATTTGTCATTCAGTTACATTTCTGCCTCAACTTTATGTTTGTTCGTTTATTAAAGCATGAATTTTGTACCTAAACTTGTATTAAAAAATTAGAAGGTGCTGCAGTACTAATAGATCCACTCCTGTGTGCACATCGTTACAATGAAGCATTGAAAGTAGAGGTTTTATTATTTCTGGAGGTAGATTCATTACATTTTGGTCTGTGTTTTAAAAAAAGTACTGTATTAGCTAGTTTTCCAGAAATCCCTCCCCCCCCCCCCCCCAATTCCAGTAGACTTCCCAATGAAGGCTCATTTAAGCAATCTTCACATTATCTCTCTTGGATGAGTTCATCAATTCTATCCCACCCTAGTTTTCACCTATTCATTCTTCCTTTACATTTAATTTGCAATTTGATCCTCATTAATTTTCACCTCATGGCCAAAGAGCTCCATATCTTCTTGTTCTGAGGTAAAATGCTCCCACCCACCACCCTCCCCCAATATTCAACCTACTTTATTTTTCTTCTTATACATCCAACCCTCATTTTTATAAAACTAATTGGTTAGCAGCATGTCCTTCAATACAGCCATTTCGCTGCTTTCACGGTTCATGCTTGTCAGTTCTTTTAGCTAATACCAGAGCAGGAAACAGTTCCCATAACTGGAATGGTGCAGGTAGTCCTTGACTTATGACTACAATGGAGCCCAGAATTTCTGTTGCTAAGTGAGACAGTTGTTAAATGAGTTGGGCCTTCTTATATACAGTATAAGAAAGAGACCTTAAGTTCAGTAGGAAAGATCATGCTAGGTCTGTAAAAAAGTTCATTCCCCAGCAGCTATATTATTACATGGGATAATGTAATATACTATTGATTTTTTTTAAAAAAATTAAGCTCATAAATGCATTTATTCAGTTTTCCTACAATCGCACAGAAGTTGTTTACCATTGTCTTCTGATTTCCTCACCTAATTTACATCCTTGGAGGCCTTTCATCTATCCAAATACTAACCAGGGATGATCTTGCTTAGTTTTTGAACCCAGGCAACATCTGCCAGGTGGTACCATTACTAAAAAAGACATCTGTCTGAGACCCTTGAAAGTCACTGCCAATCAAACCTAAATGGATAGGGATTGGATGGACAGCCCAAAAAACCAAAAACCCTAGATGGCTGTGAAGAAATATACTCCTCCCCTTTGCTACCATCTTGTGGTCATTTGGGGTACTTTGGTCCAGATACATCTAGAATATATCCTTGTCAGATAAATAATATTCACCATCGTTTCTAATGGTGCTATAATAGTCACATTGGTCTTTATCTAAATAAATATTCTGCAAATATAAGTGCATAGTTAATTTCTGTACAAATATGCTCAGCATCTGGCAAAAATTTCAAGGTGAAAAACTAGACAGATGGCTAATGAAATGTAAGCAATTTTTGTTCTGATAATACTTTTGAATTAACGCTTTAACTGAATATCCAGCAGTTGCTACCTCTTCTGATATCTACAGGGAAATAAGTGCCTATTTAACCCTTTTACAAAAAGCAAAACAATGATTGAAATTTCATATAGCTTTCCTTCCAGTTTGTTAAATAGCATAAGCAAGTGGATAAAAAAATATTAGCAAGATAAAGTACACAGAACAGATCAACTATAATTTCAGCTACTGATAAATCTTTTGCAAACTATAATTTGGGACAAAATCTGGCCTTTTTTTCTCTCTCTTCACCTAGAGTGTCTTCTTTCATCCCTTATTTGAAGAAGGGAATATTCAAGGTTTCAGCAGATAAAGACAGACTTACAACACAATCTCGGTATAGCAGATGTACACAGAATGGAATGTATTCTTAAGGAAGGCAGTTGACATTATAGCAATTGTTAATTCAATGTTGTTATCCCCACAGTGTCAGTCAACTACCTATCTACTGCATTTACTTTCAGTGAAGCCAAGGTTCTCTAGTGCAGTGTCATTAAAACTGTTGAAGTAGGACTGGAGAATGTTAGAAGTGTGATTTCACTTGTGCTGACCCTTCAGCAGCTCATAATGTACTGACCACAAGGGGCAGGGTAGCATCGATTAGAGAGCTAGGAATTGCTTCTGTGTTCCTCAATTTATTTTTCACTCAGCCTGCTCTTCGCCTGTGAGATTTCTATTCTCAATATGCTCTCTTCCTGCTCCTCTCTTCCCTACCAATCTATTCTGTCCTTGACAAGATTTAGCTAATTAGACTTTGCCTCTTCTACCCTTCCTCAGATATTTCTCCAAATAAACCTTTCTGTTGAAGTTACAAAGAGCTGCTTCATGAGTCCTTGCTCAAGTTAGTTTTCTGCTGTCAAGGAATATACAAAAATGCTTTCTCCAACAGAGAAGGCCTGTCTTGAATCTCCATTCACCTATGCAGCTCATTGGGTGACTTTAGATCCACAATTATGCCACATTGCATTGTCACATGGGACTTGAGTAACGGCAGTAAAGAACTATGAGTGCTACCATGTACTTCTGGAGAAAAGATGGGTCATAAATAATATTTATTGTAAAAACATCTGGAAAAAATGCAGGTATCTATGTAGTCTAAAGTAGTTTGAAAATATATTAAATATAGTTACGGTTAGGACTTACTTAAGAGAAAGTTGAGAAAGGAAGTGTCAGAAGATTTATTCTTGAAACATTGCCAATAGTCAAAAAATCTATAGAGATTCTTAGTCATCCAGGTCATGGTTGTCCCAAAGGTGCTTTTTCAGGAGGCAGTTGGTCATTTGCATCCTTTTAGAGGGTCATTGATGCACTTGGAGGTTTAATTTCCATTCTCCACCATCCAGTCAGAGCTGAATAAACTTCTTGGATGAGAAGCGAAATGTCTTCAAAGAAAAAAAAACAAGCCCAGTTACTTCCTGAAAAAGTACCTTTGTGTCAACTATGACCTGGATGACTGAGAATCTCTATAGATTTTTAGCTATGCAATTTGGGATGAACATCCTTTGAATGGTGTGGGAGTTGAATGGATATCCAGAGGAAAAATTGCAGACTGCAGTAACCAGAAGCACTACTCAGGTGACCCTGAGAACCCTGAGATAAACCTCCAAGGGCTTCAACAACCCTCTAAAAGGATGTAAATGACCAGCTATCTGAAATAAATATAAATCCTTCCATTCCCTATCATGCAGTCAGAGCTAAAGAAACTTCTTGGATCAGAAGTGAAATGTCTTCAAAGAAAACACAAGAGTGATCAGTTGCCTCCTGAAAAAGCACCTTTGGGATTGCCAATAGTCCTCTGACATGAGTAAGCATGCTTCTGTTAAAAAATGTGTGACACCCTACTTGGTGTAATGATTGTAGTGCATTAGGATTTGGGAGATATATCTCTAAGTTCACGTTCAGCCATGAAACTCACTAAATGTCTTTGGCTCAATTATTTTTTCTCAGCCCAA